CTGAAAAACGTCTTTAGGCTTGGAATCCTTCACGAAAAGACCAATATAAAGGAAGATTCTAACTCTAGCACTAATATTAATCTTACATGCAACACGTCTACTAATACTGCTCATATTCACACTAATGTTAACCCTGTAACAAATGCCGACGCAGACATCCTCACTAACTTGGACCCTAATATACAACCTAGAGATAGTACTGATATCACTGACGCTAACACTGATACCAACTCGAACACTATCATTAATATAGGTTTTAATTCAAACAGTAACACTAATACTAATGACAACTCGAAAGCTAACAGCAATACTAAATCTAACACCAACTTGAACACTGACGAGACTAACTTGAACACTAACTTGAGCACTACCACTACACAGCCAGAAACGCGCAAGTTGCAGCAGGCCTGCTGCAGACTTGATGCAAGTTGCGATCATCAAGCCGATATCAGGATGCGTTCGCATCGCTTGCTCCGGCTTGATAATATCAAGCCTGTTGCAAGTTGTTAACAGACTTGATACAAGTTGTCATCGGCAGACTTGCTGCAAGTTGTCATCGGCAGACTTGCTGCAAGTTGTCATCGGCAGACTTGCTGCAAGTTGTCATCGGCAGACTTGCTGCAAGTTGTCATCGGCAGACTTGCTGCAAGTTGTCATCGGCAGACTTGCTGCAAGTTGTCATCGGCAGACTTGCTGCAAATTGTCATCGGCAGACTTGCTGCAAATTGTCATCGGCAGATTTGCTGCAAGTTGATGACGTCAACAAGCTTGCTGCAACTTGTCGACAACTTGCAGCAGGCCGGTAAAACCCGCAACTTGCAGCAAGTCTGTGGCGTTTCTGGCTGTGTAACACATATAGCAGTTCTAATGTTACCACCAATTGCAGCACGAGTAGTGGCACTAATACTAACACTTCTGTTACCACTAACAATATCGCTCGCCATAACATCAATGCTGATGTAAATACAGAAAGTAAAAGGAAAAATGTTGTGTTAATAACAGCAGGTAAATATACTCTATATATGTTAACCGTAATTAGGGAAGAAAAATTATGCAATAAAGGGAATTGTATGCTTTCTGCCAAGTCTTTCTGCAAAAGTTATAAAGCCTACTTAAGTCTGACAAAGGCAAACTAGAAACTACAAAGTATATATTATAAAAAGAGGTCGTATTTTGAATTGCTGCATGTTCATTATTAAAGCATGAATTTTTAATTGTATTTTATCGCATGAAAGCATGCTAACATACTAATAATTCTGAGGTGGAGATGTAAGGCATTAATTAGAAAGCATTGTCTTGCTCGCATATTTTTCCGTATATAATTATGAAAATTTCTCATTTCCAGCTGCTTTCGTTTTCTTTAGGAACTAAAGTTGGCCTTGTCGACTCCAATAAATGCGTGCAAGCATGGGGTGTTGTGCACAGCCAAAAAACAGTTCATGGAAAACCGTTAAAACATGGCCATGTTGTTATTGAAATAAAGGAAATATTGCCGACATGTCAGCTAAAGCCGCCCTGCCCTGGAACTTTTGATGATCCTGATAGAATTCATATAGGAGAATTTCATTCATGGCCACTAACTTCTGTTGCTTTACCCCTCAAGCCGGGTTCACACTTCTCCTAAGAGTCTGGGATTCCCTTTATCTGAGGTCACTGTTGCATAAAATCTTTTGTCTATCGAAAAATAATACAATGAATCCCCGATTCTCAGGACAAGTGTGAACCAGGCCTTAAGCCTAGTCTTCATATGTCGTAATTTATCGGCGATGTTCTATATGACCCGAAAATATTTTACGCCTCAATGACCACTTTGCAATGGACATCACTGATGAATATAAATTTTAAGGACCAGGCGTCGGTCGTACGAAGACCGGATAGCGCTATCCACCGAATTCCAGCGGGCAGTCAAATTTATAAAAGTTGTTGAATTAACCGCGAATAAAGATCACATAGTTAATAAACGAAAATTTAGTTTATACAAAATATAACAACAACAACAACATGTTATACTAAATAACGGACAATTTTACTAAATTTACTGAAAAAATCAGTATGAAGTGTATAGCGCTATCTGGCCAAAACCTAAAATTTTTTGCGTGAGAGAACTTTAAATAAGCATAAATCTATGTATACTATACAGTACATACGAAAGTATGACTAAAGTTATAGTATAATTCTTATTATTTACTTTAAGCTACATAGTTGTTATTTATCTGTTTTCATAAGAAGTTAAAAAATGCAAATATTTCTTGGGGGCAAAAAAATCCTGTGCTGACTTTCTCAAGAGCTTCTTTGCAGCAGTGCTTCTGGTGCTGTCGGATATTTCCAGCACTTGCTTTAAGCCTAATTTCCAGATGATTATGTGCATCTACGACAGTCGGCGTGCGATGAACGATGCCGATGGTTATACTGATTTTTGTATATCTGAAATCATTGTCTATTTCAATGTTAATTGACAACAGTTAAGTCGGCGACGGGTCATGATCGTTACATGGAAACCAGACGGATGGCCTTTGAGTTTCCAGGAGACGGCCTGCCCGGGCAAACTTTGACCGTCCATCCATGCAAGCTTATTTCCTGTTTAAGTTTCCGTGTGCCAGGCTTGTCCTGGTGTATTGTGCCCAAGTATGGCACTACAACAATCCTGAATATCTATCTACTGAAATAGAAAGAAACCAATCTGCTGTTCACTGAACGCATAAAGTCATCGATCTGGTTCTGAATCAAACGATAAGCCAGAATACCACGAGGCAAATTGGTTCATGCACTCAAGACGAAAACCAATACGGCAACCAAAAAAGTTTTTCACGTCAAATATTCACGTTGGTCCATATGTCAGCGAAAATTCTCCCACTTGTGCAGGCTCGTATTGTCGGCGGCTGTCTTATATATATGGAAAATTAATACCAGTGAGTGAAATGCAAAATTGCAAACCGCTCTGTGAACCGCTGAAAAACCGGCCTGTTGTAATGGGAGAACTTTATGTTTCTGAACAGCGTTTTTAGCGCGTCGAAATTCACCACGGAAACGAACTTCCGGGTCGCCCGATTATATATCTTCCATGAAAAATAGGCTTTAGTTTAACCAAAATTTGACTGTCTTTTAGAATCGTTAAATTTCCGTTTGTTGCACCTAAACTACCCGGGGACGTGCAAGAATGAGGAGTGCGCATGCAGTTTTATGGGAACTAAGATAATCTGACATAACATGATCTGTTCCGTAGGCGTAGAGGAGCTATTACTTTAGGGGGGTAATGAATATTTCCCCTCCCCTGTCGACCAAATTTACTGGCAATTTTTGAAAAATGGGACTTTATAATTTCCTGCTCATTTCTCATCCGACCATACATGCAATGTTGAAATTTGCCTAACTTTCCAACTTCTAACTTTTCTTCGGGGGTGGGGGGCAACTGCCCCCGTTCTCTACAACTATGATCTGTTCTCCTGAAGCCGAGGATAAACTTTAGAAACTCGCCCAAATTTGTAAAACATATTCACTTATAAGGCGCATGTGTTATATCTACTCGAAATAGGGTAAATTGTCTACCCGCCTGGATAAGGCAGTGCTTTTACGTTTATGATCTTACTGAAAGTGTCCGATCGAACGTCTTTGATGCATGATATGCGTGAAATGAGTCCTGTTTTACAACAGACACAGCGATGTAACGATATTAACTGAAAATTTGTGCCAGAGCTAGTTTTACCAAGGTAAACTCTTGAAAGAAATTTCAAAGTGAAATATTCAATTTAAGTTTGTGTGTAAAAGGAGGTCGTTTTGGGCACAATGCTGTTACCGTATTATATATAGACTGGATATGCGTGAAATGAGTCCTGTTTTACAACAGACACAGCGATGTAACGATATTAACTGAAAATTTGTGCCAGAGCTAGTTTTACCAAGGTAAACTCTTGAAAGAAATTTCAAAGTGAAATATTCAATTGAAGTTTGTGTGTAAAAGGAGGTCGTTTTGGGCACAATGCTGTTACCGTATTATATATAGACTGGATATGCGTGAAATGAGTCCTGTTTTACAACAGAAACAGCGATGTAACGATATTAACTGAAAATTTGTGCCAGAGCTAGTTTTACCAAGGTAAACTCTTGAAAGAAATTTCAAAGTGAAATATTCAATTTAAGTTTGTGTGTAAAAGGAGGTCGTTTTGGGCACAATGCTGTTACCGTATTATATATAGACTGGATATGCGTGAAATGAGTCCTGTTTTACAACAGACACAGCGATGTAACGATATTAACTGAAAATTTGTGCCAGAGCTAGTTTTACCAAGGTAAACTCTTGAAAGAAATTTCAAAGTGAAATATTCAATTTAAGTTTGTGTGTAAAAGGAGGTCGTTTTGGGCACAATGCTGTTACCGTATTATATATAGACTGGATATGCGTGAAATGAGTCCTGTTTTACAACAGACACAGCGATGTAACGATATTAACTGAAAATTTGTGCCAGAGCTAGTTTCAACACGGCAAACTCTTGACAGAAATTTCAAAGTAAAATTTGGCTTGGGTATTTTGGAAATATTTATTTATAAAAGGATTTAATTGGAATCGAACCAATTTGCACAGTAAGTGCTTCACCAGACAATCCATATGTTAAAAGTACAGTAACCCGGGAAAATTATATATCGTGAGGTCCAGTAACTTACCAAACGGAGAATACAAGTCATAAATGCTAATAATGCAAGGAGAAAAATTTAACTGTCATATTTGTTTGATTTTGTGAAAACATACATCTTTTTAATAGAAGAAAACCAGAGCATTACATGCAGCCACCAAAGCTTTGGAAAACTAATAGACAAAGCAAACAAAAAACAATGCGTCCCTTTAAATGAACAACAAATTTACGAGTGTACACAGTATATACTACATGTTTAGAAGAAAAACTATTACCTTATAACATTATTCTTAATTATACACCGAATGCTATTTTAATGTTGTATTGACCTTGGAATAATTTCTCTACTGCTGTTCCAATTATATTCTTTAATTCACGGAAGCTTCTAAAATTGTTATATACATACATTGAATATAATTTCTCAGGAAAGTATTGGTCAATTTTATTTATTCGTCCATTTTATTTTCTTCGTCGTCGGACGACGATTCACCCTCGGAAACTTCTGCTTCTTCTTCCGCATCAACATCTTCATATTGTTGCAGCTCTACGTTTTCTAAGTCTCGGAAGTTTCTCATTCCATTTTGAAGTTGTAGCTTCGCAAACCAAGTCCCTGCATTGCACATGGCAAGTTTTCCCTTTAAAGTTGAGATCGTTTCTCTTCTAATTTGGTACCGCTTCACATCTATTTCAGGAAGTCCTTGTGCGACCTTCAAAATGTACACACTATATATAGGAATGTATTAAGTCCCAGTGTCTTTAATGATATTTTATTACACGTTCCATAGAGCCTCTATAATTTGAAAGGGGAGATTGCTTATGCATCAATTGTAATACAAACTTTCCATAAGTATTGTACGTCACAAATATTTTTTGTTCTAAAAGACGACGCGAAGCGATTGGCTGACGATTAACAAAAGCAAAGCTCCCAGGTTAATGACGTAATTATCGATAAGGTGAATGGTGATAGAACATGCAAACTTGCAGCAACAAATTACACAAAGCGTTTATCATTTTGTTACTCACCCTTTCCTCTTCAATCAAATCAGGATTTAATATACTCTCTGTAAACATTATACAAAATAGAGAAGGCATTAGTAAAATACATGCATAAATGCACGATATTCTGTTATTACAAAGAAACGACATAGTGTATTGTACAATACCAATCATTTCTTTTATCCCTTTCTGCTGAGTGTCCAGTTCACTCAAGACATTGTCTCGGTAATATGCCATAAAATTCACCATTTCTCCAATCAACAAATCTTGTTCTTCCGTTAAACGTTGCACAGCCACAAATTTGTCCACAATACTTGCCTTGGTACGAATAGGAATCGAGTCTAAAACGATATAATTATATATGCTAAAACCAATCTAGATTTACAGTACATATATAAAGATTAAATCTTGATCAAAGGTATAACTGCCATCACTGCATCACTGAACAACCTGGTGAAACTAATCCTAAATTATACTTATATGTAACCAAAATGTTTGCCATCAGTATTGTAAAATTCTACTAGTAAGTTTTCAAGTTTCTATACTTTGGCGTAAATTCCTCAAATCCTCTGTCAGTTTGTTAAAACCAATCTTCGAATTGAAATGAAAACATCTTGTCAATATTGAAGTAATTGGTAAGACCTCTGGTACATATTATTGTATATAATTACCAAATGCCTTCTCTTTATCACTGTCTGACCAAGGGAAATCACCTTCCAAGACTTCTTCAAGTGAAACACTTGATCGACCAAATGCATTTAACTTATCTACAACTGCTTTTAAATTCTTTCTTTCATTGCTCATTTTCTTTCTCATGCTTGATCTCATTTTAGATCGATCTAATATATTGGTGTACATTTAAAAAGAAAAAAAAAACGATTATGAAACTGCAACACCACGTTCAAAACTACGTTCTGAATCCTGAATCAACTTACCAGCCACTTTAGATATATCACGTGCTCTCCGTTGTATTGAAAAATATATAATCTCTGCTTTCCTTTGCAATTTTAAGATCGACTTCAGTATCAACTCTTCTTTCCCTTTTTCAAGAAGCTTCTCTTCGGATACTTGCTGGAACTTTTCTTTTATTTTGCTTAACTGCTGCTGCAAACTACACAGTTGTGATGTCTTTGACTCCACTGTACTGTGCAATTCAACATTTCCAAGCAAGTCGCGTGTTTGTCGATCCCCTCCTTCCACGAATGATTTTAATAATGTTGCGTCACGAATTTGATGATACAGTATAAAATAGTTTTCGGCGTCCCCGTATTCTTGTTCGCTTTTACCATCCGCTATGGTAACAGTGGGTACACAACGTTTTTAGTAACAATGAATGGAAAATCGAGGCTTAATTAAAATTTTTGGTTGAATATTTCATATCAAAATTTGGTTGCTAAAAAGTATATCAGCTACAGGCGATGATATTTTCAACGAAAAAGATTTTTTTTTAAAGAATTTTTGGAGAAAAGTATTACTTATTATTGGTAGATGTTTCACACAAAACAAGAGTAACTCTGAACACAGTGCTGTAAGTATTTGTTAAGCGTTTCGATGACGACTAAAAGTTGATAATATACGGTCGAAAAACACACTAACCTCTCGCAAAGTTTTCAACAGTCGATTTCCACTCTAAAATCTCTTTTTCTTCCTTTCCCTGTAGGCCAAAATCCACAAGAGTTTCCTCTAATTCTTTTTGTTTTTCTTTTAGTGTTTTTGCTGTCTGCATTTTCATGTGAAAAACAAAGCAATCGAGATTTAAAACGCACACAGGGATCCACCCACAAAAAATCTATTGTGCTATTGGCAGTACGGTACTGTACTTCCTTCACAAGTAACCCCTAACTGGCAAATCTAATCTTACTATGTATTCGTCAAATTACACTTTCAATCATTGTGACATTCAACTTCTAAACCAATCGTAGTGTCAACAACACACAATAGCAATACCAAAATAAGTATAACAATATAAACCTTAGCGTAACGCATCCTGAGGTATTTAGGCATGTTCAAGACTTTTCGTTTATTCCATCCCAAAACATGCTCCGTAAGAGCTTCTTCACGCCCTACAATATAACGAAATTCTGTACAGTAATTGGCATTTCAAGGAGAAACAAAAATTTGTTTCGGTTCACCATTACACAGTACTATTACACAGAGTGTTTTGGTGCAAAAAAAACGATAGCCGATTGCTAAACCCACCTGCTGCTGACATCCGCTTCGTAGTAGAGCCAAGGCGAGAAATATAGCTGTTGACTTGCTCAGCTTCTTCTCCAGTACCATTTGCAGCGCCGTCTTGCCACCTGCCACCCCATGTGAACTAAAAATTGATATATTGTACAGTATAAATGAAAATAGAATAATTTTATTACTCACAATATTTTACGAAATTTCACTTTTCCCGTTAACAGCTTAGTTTCGTTTTTGGCAATACGTTCGAGGCATTTAGTACTAAATTGCAACATACCTGGCAGTTCCAAGAATGAGATTTACCATGCATTACAGATAGTGCAGGTGCCATATCAAGAGCCTTGAGAAGACGACGAGGTGTGTTTGACACTGCCCATGGCCAGTACAGACAAATCACATCTTGCCAAAGAAATTTGACATGCCTTGGTAAAAGGTACTGAGTATGCAAGTAGTGTGCATATCCATATATTTCTCCTCGAAACATATTAACTGCTGCTTGTGCAATACTGTGCCGACAGCAAGCAACCTCTAAACCAGTTTCATCTTGCTTTTTCTTGCTTTTACTTACGGCCTTAGCTGCTTTCCAGTGTGAATCTCCACAGCGTTGCTTCCAACCTAAACAGAATGCAATATTTGATGTCCGAAAACTTTTTTCGGAAAAATCATCCCTAAAAATTTATGTTTATCGGAAAATTAATGCCTTCACCCCTCTTAAACTTTAAGTTGATATGTAAGCACTATGATGCTGCTGTTAATACTATTGCATCCTAGAACACCACACACCGGTACCGGTATTGTATTCATAGAAATTATCCTATTACATAGTTTAAGTAAACATAAGTATGGATTGTACAACCATTTTCAGTGCTTTTATAACCCATGCTATGAACAATGCCATTTTCCCAAATTTGTTTGTGATGGTGATGGCAATATAGCTAATTGATGCACAGTACCTCTTTCTTTCCAGTGCTATATACTTCAGCAATCTGCATATCAACATCTGTGTTATTCTTAATGAAGAGATCCCCATAGTAAGAAGTTCTATTACCTCTACAAAACATTATTGAAACATTTTTAAAATTAGAAATTTTCACACATTGCTCTGTGCAGGATGGCAGATTTAACAGCATTTATAAGATTACAATGCACTTTATAAAAACCAAAAATTAAACATAGATCAGGGTACAAAATAGTATGAATTATTGACACACCTTGGTACACTTTTAAAACGATAAAGCTTCTGATTCCCATCCACATGTGCAGAATGTTGTGACATAGAGCATGGAGGACAATCAATGTAGGTTATACCCTGCAACTTATCTACTTCATACTGACAGTATCTCCATTCAGCTGCAGCCTTTCTGAATGTGGATGCATTAATTATCCCTGTCTGGCAATTAAAGAAAACATATACTTACATAATTAATGGCTATCACATACACTTATCAAACTTGGGTGTGCTGTACATGAACTGTATGTTAATTATGCTCTTTCATTACCATACAGCACAGCTTATACTATTATCACCATGCATTAAACTTACCCGGCCTTTCACTGCAGAAATATCCTCCAAGGCTTTTATAAATGCAGACTCTGATGATCCAGGCATTCGCATTTTGAAGGTTTCCCACACTCTAAACACTTCTTGGTCGAAGAGGTAGTTTACTTGGCATGGGGAACCCGGCCAATAACCATTATTTATAATGCTTGTCAGGGACAATGGTTGGACAACATTGCAAGCTTCACAAACAAGGGAGAACCAGTGCAAATCATAACGACCTAACAAGGATAATTAAAAATTATGACTGTATATAAACTAAATTAGCTAACAAAAAAGCACTTTATAAAAGCAAACTTTAAATAACAGATAAAGTACAAACCACAAATTAAAAAATCCTAATTGAAAACTCGAGATACAGTATTACTACAGGTACATGTTACAATAATCACATTTTGAGATTTTAAGATGTCCCAATTTGACATTACAACTTATGCTCTTTACTTATAAAGATTTGCTGGTTCTAGAGTTTGGACAAACACAAACCTTTCATGGTAACTAAAATTATCTTATCCTTTGCAACACATTTTCTTAACTGCCCTTCACCACATGATCTACACTGTGTGTCACAAATCAACGGACAGTAACGTTCTGCAACAAAAAGTAAATACTTTTACTCTTTTGTTTGTGTAGTGTTTTGTAGTAAAATTATGTAAATTAAATCAATGAATCCATACTAGCTGCACATGCACTCAAATGTAACCCAGCTACATAATTATTCTTTTAATAAGGATATTGAAGCCTGCCAAGTACTACCAATTAATTATGTTACGGGGGGCTGCTATAAAACAATTATGAACTAAATCAAGTCTCTTGACAATGAGAAAAGGTGCTATACTGACTCTATAGGCCCATGGTTCAATTTGTAGAAATCAGAATAGTGCTGTTATTATTACAAATACCTTTTACCATAATTATTCCTTCTCTTGACACACTTTCTGTAGGTTTCAGATAATGATAAAAACCATTAAGCCATTCTTGCCTATCATGCAACGGCTTATCACTGTGCACTGTATCATCACAGGTGGGACACATATACTGAGAAATGCATTCTGAGCACTTAACTACAGCTGTTTCATTACCACATGCCATACATATAAATTCATCCTCAGGAATGACACAGGAGTTAAGAAGAGATGAGAACAGGTTATCTCTCCAATTTTCCCAGTTTGCATCACTAGATTTGGTTCTCTTTTGCCACTGAGACATGGGTTCTGGTTCCTGGCAGTCTCCATACATTTCACTACATATTTCATCACAATCATCAAGAATGCTAGCCAGTTGTTCTGAAATTTTATCAATGAAATTGGGAATATTTTAAATGACAATGAAAGCAGAAATGTGACTTACATAACCATCTAGGCTTGGAGAATGAGTGAATAACAGAATGTTAACTAAACCATTAACTGGCAGTACTATTCTATTGAGAGAACTAAAATTGTCTGGTATTAAACGGCATAAAATGGTAAAATAAGGAAGTTAAGGCAAATTCAGGTCCATTGCTTGTACTGGCAGATAGTAGTGTTATAAACTTATCAAATGGCAGTATCTTCCACTGACAATTTAAATGATGTAATGCTAGATAAAGTAAGATATGAGAGTAGGTACATTCATGCTTATTGCTAGATAATGGGTAATCACCTTGATAATTTATTTCCTTGTTGGAGGGTTCCTCTGCTGTGGGTGATGGTAAGTCATCCATATCATCTGCCATGCTGGTGCTTTCCACAACAGCTTTCATCCTTCTTGACCCTTTTAAAATAATGAAAAATTCTCCATGCTACTGTACCTTTAATTAAATTAGCAAACATGCACTTTTTCAGGCATCTCACAATTCACAAAATAGCTTCCAAACCATTCAGCGACAAAATATGACAAGTGAAAAGCTGATTAACCCATCAGGAGGCGCCAGTACTCTCCTCTTGACGAGTAGAATTGTCTGGCGTTAGACAATTTAGAGTAAATACTAAAGTAGGGCACATTTGAGCACAATGTGGCTCAATGGGTTAATAGTTATGTGAAATGCAGCTCTAAACTTATTATATCTTACTTGAATCAATGAAGTTTGGCCAACCAAAAAGATAAATTGTAAAAGGCGGAGCTGAAAAGTAAAAAATATAAATAAATAAGAGTATAGTTAATACTGTACAAAACCTTTTCTTGGACAGTGGTAAATTCTATTCCCCTTGTTGTCTCTTCTGATTTCAATGTGGCTTTTCTGAGGCTTCTTTCGAATTTTGTTGGCGCTGGGTGTATTCGTTGAAAATAGGCTTTCGGCTTCTTCCAAAGCCTTAGCAAGACGTGCACTTGTTTGCGCTTTGGCCTTTCCGTTATTATTCGCCTTTGTTTTATCTATTAAAGAATTAAATATGGTCTTAAAGTTGGAACATTATAAAGGCCTACGACAAACGACAATTATTATTTATTCTCATTATCATATACTGCGGTATATAAAGGCGGAATCATACCCAATAATCAAGCGTCGTTATCATATAAAAGGGGCTTTACAAATGCACAGCTTCTACCTGTTTGTTCTTCAGACTCATCCATATTAGTTAACGATTTCAATATGTAAATTTGTAAAAGAAGCTCAGATATTTATTATAATGGCGTCCACTCCAAGCAGGGTCGTGCCCACGATATCTCTCTGAAATCTGTTCAGCGTTTATCATGATAAAAATTAAGGCAATACCTTAATTTGAGAGGCTTTTGACAATTAAGATATAAGCTTAATTTTGGAATGAGATCATGTTGGCTTATGCTACTTAGACGATGTCATCGTATTTGGTCGCGATTTTTGTGAACATTACACTCGGCTTAAGACGGTTTTAGAGAGATTGCGTTCTCATTGTCTCCGCGTAAAACTTGAGAAATGTACAATTGCGGCGCGCAAAGTTACATTCTTAGGACATTTAGTTTCCGAAGCTGGTATCATGCCTGATCCCGCGAAAATTGAAGCTGTCAACAACATTACCAGCCCACGCAACGTCAAAGATGTACGCAGCTTTTTAGGACTTGCAGGTTACTACCGTAAGTTTATTCCCGGTTTCTCATCCATTGCGGCGCCGTTACTACAATTAACGCAAAAAGCAGCGAATTTTATTTGGAGTGCTGCATGCGAACAGGCGTTTCAACGATTAAAACAATTATTATGCAGCTCTCCCATTCTGGCCTACCCTGACTTTGGCAGGGAATTCGTCTTGCAAACTGATGCGTCTGATTACGGTGTCGGCGCAGTTCTATCGCAACTTGACGATTTAGGAAACGAAAAAGTCATTGCGTATGCGTCAAGAACGCTCTCACCTCGCGAACAGAAATACTCACCCCGAAAAAGAAGCATTAGCTGTTGTCTTTGGCACAGCTCATTTTCGCGTATATCTTCTAGGTCGCCATTTTAAGTTAATTACTGATCATAATGCCTTACGTTGGCTGCATACTATGGAGGCCAAAGGTCGTCTAGCGCGGTGGATTATGGATTTACAGTTTAATTTTTCAGTCTTTCATCGTGCGGGTCGTATTCAAAATAACGCAGATGCGCTCTCTCGCCTTGTTAAACCTACTTTATCAGCATCCACCTCAAGCCAACAGGCTGCACACCAAACAACATTTGTTTTAACAATACGTGTTAAATTACCTGGGGGACGCACTGCGTTTGTTAAGTTAGAGAGCAGTAAGCCACTTATAATGAATCCAGACGGTACTTTAGTTAAACTTCCGAATAGCCTTTGTCACGACACCTCCCCTTCCGCTCAAAAGACGCAACTAGTTAATGCAATCACATTAAACCCAACCATGAATCTCAGAGATAATCAACGCAATGACCCACACTTAGCAACTATATTAGACATGAAACGGCGCAATTTGCCTAAACCAACTTTGAATCGCGCTCAAGACCCTGCGCTAAAGCGTTGGCTTCGGCACTATGACCAATATTTTCTGCATGATGGCATTCTCTATAGAGCTCTTGGTAACCGACAGGCATCGCATAACCATCCGAACAATGTCATATTGATTCCCTCCAACCTCCAAGCAAACATCCTGAAAACCCTGCATGATGGGCCACTCGGGGGACATTTAGGTATCACTCGCACAGAGGAACGCGTCCGAAGAAAATTTTACTGGCCTGGTATTCGCCAAACGGTTTCCGAACATATCCAAACGTGCAACGTTTGTAACCAAAAGAACTCCCCAAATAGCAAAAATTCGGCGCCAGTAGGCCACATTTCAGTCGGTCAACCTTTCACTTTCTGGGCAATGGATTACATGGGACCATATCCAGAGACCAGTCGGAGGAACAAACACATTTTAGTTGTTGTCGATCATTTCACCAAGTGGTGTGAAGCGTTTGCAACACCCGATCAAAAAGCCAGCACAGTTGCGCCACTCCTAGTCAGTCGCATTTTCTCCAGGTTTGGCCCCCCAGCAGTCTTGCATTCAGACCAAGGCAGAAATTTTGAGAGCACGCTGCTCCATGAAGTATGTAATTTTATGGGTATTACGAAAACGCGCACTACTAGCTACCATCCTCAGTGTGACGGACAGACAGAGCGCCAAAACCGCACAATTCAGGCTATGCTTTCCTCATTTGTTTCAAATAGGCGAGATGATTGGGACTTGTGGCTGGATTCAGTCACGTTCGCTTACAATACTAGCAAACACGACGCACTAGGCATGTCTCCGTACGAGGTAGTTTTTGGCCAATTACCTAGGCTGCCAGTTGAATGGGAATTAGGCATGCCGCTAACAACACCGTCAACCCAGAGCAAATATTTACAATCAGTTAGGTCAGCATTTCATGATATTAGACGCATAGCAGAGGAACATTTATCAAAAGCATCGAAAAAACAGGCAAGGCTCAATCAACCGACAAATACCTGGCGGCCTTTCGAATCGGGCGAAACAGTCATGTTGAGAAGACCGAAAGGCTGGAAGTTCGGACCTAGATGGGTGGGGCCTTATATAATCTTAAAACGGATGGGGGTAGACTATCGAATTATTTCAAAGGGAGGGAAGGTGATGGTCGTTCACCACGACCATTTAAAACGCAGTTTTATCCCGTTTCAAGAGGGCGAACCAGTTTGCCCTAGTAGGGAAGTAGGTGAGTTCAACTCAAGGTGGTTGATGTTACACCCGAACATGACGGAATTGACGAAGTTCCTCGTGCTCGACCTGCCAGACTTAGACAACACATTAATCCGCCATTAAGATATGGATTTGATTGAAAGCATGTCCTCGGGACGAGAACATAAGGAGGAGGATGGTGTAACGGATATCAGAAAATAGATTAACATTAAAAATAGTATACAGACAAACACTAATGGAATAAGGAAAGGTAGCTTGCCGCGGACGTACCATTGCAAGTGCTTCCGAGATTAATATAAAAATAACCATCAATATATATAAACATAGCATTTTAGATAACTAAAGGAAGCGTACACGCCCTATAGAACGAGAGTATAAATAACTAATGTAAACTATTGAATAACAGAGTTGGATTTAGACCTGTTGTGTGTTTGTGTGTGTAAAGTAAGCTCGGCTAGTTTCACCACTAGGGAGACTCTTGTCTTCACCACTAGACTACGAGATCATGTACTGAACGACTAAGATTATTTAACTTACTATATCTTTTTCACGAAGTTCATAATGAAAAAACGATTATGATAAGATTCTGACCATCGATTTACAATTTAGCTGACCACTGTCTTCACCACTAGACCACGAGATCATGTGCTAAACAACTAAGATTATTTGATTTACTTTAACGTTTTACGAAGGACATAATAAAAAACAGTTATTGTAAGATTCGAACCATCGACTTACCACTTGGGAGACCATTGTGTTCTCCAATAGACTACAAGATCATGTGCTGAAGGCCTATTATTTTTTAATTTACTTTATCTTTTTCACGAATTTCATAATGAAAAAACGGTTATGGTAAGATTTGAACCATCGATATACCACTAGGGAGACCCTTGTCTTCTCCACTGGACTACAAGATCATGTGCTGAACGGCTATGATTTTTTTATTTATTTTAACCTTTTCACGAAGTTCACATTGAAAACACGGTTATGGTAAGCTTCGAACCATCGAGTTACCACTTGGGAGACCATTGTCTTTTCGAAAAGACTACAAGATCATGTGCTGAAGGGCTATGAATATTTGATTTACTTTATCTTTTTCACGAATTTCATAATGAAAAAATGGTTATGCTAAGATTTGAACCATCGATTTAACACTAGGGAGACCCTTGTCTTTTCCACTGGACTACAAGATCATGTGCTGAAGGGCTATGAATATTTGACACACTTTATCTTTTCCACGAGGTTCATAATGAAAAAACGGTTATGGTAAGATTCGAAGCATCGATTTACTACTTGAGAGACCCTTGCTCTTACCACTAGAGTACAAGATCATGTGCTGAAAGGGTATGATTATTTAATTTACTTGATCTTTTTCACGAAGTTCATAATGAAAAAACGGTTATGGTAAAATTCGAACCATCCATTTACCATTTGGGAGACAATTGTCTTCACCACTAGACTACGAGATCATGTGCTGAACAGCTATTTAATATTGGATTTAGTTTAACCTTTTCACGAAGTTCATGATGATAAAACGGTTATGGGAAGATTCGAACCATCGATTTACCACTTGGGAGACCATTGTCTTCACCACTAGACTACGATATCATGTGCGGAACGGCTAGGATTATTTGATTTACGTTAACCTTTTCACGAAGTTCATAATGAAAAAACGGTTATGGTAAGATTCGAACTACCGGTTCACCACTTGGGAAACCCTTGTTCTTACCACTAGAGTACAAGATCATGTGCTGAAAGGGTAAGATTATTTAATTTACTTGATCTTTTTCACGAAGTTCATAATGAAAAAACGGTTATGGTAAAATTCGAACCATCGACTTACCACTTAGGAGACCATTGTCCTTATCACTAGACTACAAGATCATGTGCTGAAGGGCTATGATTATTTAATTTAGTTTATCTTTTTCACGATGTTCATAATGAAAAAACGATTATGGTAAGATTTGAACTATCGACTTACCACTTGGGAGACCAATGTCTTCATCACTAGACTACAAGATCATGTGCTGAAGGGCTGTGATTATTTAATTTACTTTATCTTTTTCACGTTGTTCATAATGAAAAAACGGTTATTGTGAGATTCGAACCATCGTTTTACCATTTGGGAGACCTTTGTCTTCACCACTAGACTACGAGGTCATGTGCTGAACGGCGAAGATTATTTGATTTACTTAAACGTTTTTGAAAAAGGACATAGTGAAAAAGGGTTATGGTAAGATTCGAACCATCGACGTACCACTTGGTAGACCATTGTCTTTACCACTAAACTACGAGATCATGTGCTGAACGCACAATAATATTTTGGGCTCACTTTTTCGAAAATGCCTTGTAACCAGGCCTGATTCAAGATGGCGGCCAAGGATCACTTTCGCTGGTAGCTTAAATTCTGAAACTTAAATAAAAAATAAAAACCTGTCCCACACATAAACCGTGAAACTAGCCAAATTGTATTGTAGACGTTCAATTTCAAAAAAAATAGAAAAAAAGGTAAAAATGAAGTAAAATAACGGTGCTTTACCAAGATTTGAACCGGGATATTTCGCACGCAGTACGACCTCTCGACTAAGAAGTCGTTGCTGAAGCGCTGAAGCATAGCGTAGTTTTATTAGGTATATTTATAGTGCTCAATGTAGAAAATAACTCAAAAAGGCACGGTTACAAAGCTCCCATCGAAAGTGATCCCAAAATAAATTTGTGCGTGCTGAACGGCTAGGATTATTTGATTTACTTTAACCTTTTCACGAAGCTCATAATGAAAAGACGGTTATGGTAAGATTCGAACTACCGATTTTCCACTTGGGAGACCAATGTCTTTTCCACTAGACTACGAGATCATGTGCTGAATGGCTAGGATTATTTGATTTACTTTAACATTTCCATTATGTTCATATTGAAAAAACGGTTATGATAAGATTTGAACCATCGACTTGCCACTTGGGAGACCAATGTCTTCATCACTATACTACAAGATCATGTGCTGAAGGGCTATGAATATTTAATTTACTTTATCTTTTTCACGAAGTTCATAATGAAAAAACGGTTATGGTAAGAATATAACCATCGACTTACCACTTGGGAGACCACTGTCTTTACCACTAGACAACGAGATCATGTGCTGGACGGCTATTATTATTTAATTTACTTCATCTTTTTCACGAAGTTCATAATGAAAAAACGGTTATGGTAAAATTAGAACCATCGACTTACCACTTGGGACACCATTGCCCTCATCACTAGACTACAAGATAATGTGCTGAAGGGCTATGATTATTTAATTTACTTTATCTTTTTCACGTTGTTCATAATGAAAAAACGGTTGTGGTAAGATTCGAACCATCGATTTACCATTTGGGAGACCACTGTCTTCACCACTAGACTACGAGATCATGTGCTGAACGGCGAAGATTATTTGATTTACTTTAACGTTTTTGACAAAGGACATAATGAAAAAGGGTTATGGTAAAATTCGAACCATCGACTTAGCACTTGGTAGACCATTGCCTTCACCACTAGACTACAAGATCACGTGCTGAAGAGCTGTGATTATTTAATTTACTTTATCTTTTTCACGAAGTTCATAATGAAAAAACGGTTATGGTAAGATTCGAACCATCGACTTACCACTTGGGAGACCATTGTCCTTATCACTAGACTACAAGATCATGTGCTGAAGGGCTATGATTATTTAATTTAGTTTATCTTTTTCACGATGTTCATAATGAACGGGTAAGATTATTTGATTTACTTTAACGTTTTTGACAAAGGACTTAATGAAAAAGGGTTATGGTAAGATTCGAACTATCGACTTACCATTTAGGAGACCATTGCCTTAACGGCTAGACTGCAAGATCATGTGTGGAAGGGCTATGATTATTTAATTTACTTTATCTTTTTCACGAAGTTAATAATGAAAAAACATTGATGGCAAGATTCGAACTACCGATTTACCACTTGGGAGAGCATTGTCTTTTCCACTAGACTACGAGATAATGTATTTAGCGGCTATGATTATTTAGTTTACTTCATCTTTTTCACGAAGTTCATAATAAAAAAACGATTATGGTAAGATTTGAACTATCGACTTACCACTTGGGAGACCAATGTCTTCATCACTAGACTACAAGATGATGTGCTGAAGGGCTATGATTATTTAATTTACTTTATCTTTTTCACGAAGTTCATAATGAAAAAACGGTTATGGTAAAATTTGAACCATCGATTTACCACTATGGAGACCCTTTTCTTCTCCACTGGAAAACAAGATCATGTGCTGAACGGCTAGATTATTTGATTTACTTTAACCTTTTCACGAAGTTCATAATGAAGATAATTGAGAAAAGGAGCAGCGTTATTTCACTATAAGCTAGTTATATGCGGCCCAGGTGAAGCAAATGGTTACGGTGCGATTGTTTTGTATTTTTAATGAGGTCAAGTCTGATTTCACAGGTCACAAATTAAAATTTGAGGAAAATAGTAATTCAGATTCATTAGAATGTTTCAACATTTTCCACTAATTTCAGAGCTGAAATTGTACTCCAAATCTCCATTATAGCGCAACAGATCTAGATATTAAATAACTCTACTTCTCTTAAGCTGCGTTTACACGGTACCATCCGCTCGTCACAACATCTTCGTTTCCATTCAGCGTACACCTAAGATCGTAGAAGACACAGTCACTGTCGGTCACAGCACGGCTACCATCCACAGTCTGATTTATTTATATCAATTTCTTTTTTATATTACATCCCGTCAATTACGTATCATAATCGCTTAATCATCATGTTCCTCTAGCAAATTGTAGTTACAAGATTATGTATTGCGACATGTATTATTTACGCAATCATTTTGATCGCGCGCCACACTTTCTTCTCACATTAGTTTTGGTCCCGAAAACGCTAAAAGTTGATACAGAAACTACGATCAAAATCTCCCGATTCCTGACCTGGACAAACAAACCAGGACAAGCAAACTTTCCCTGCTCAGTAGGCATAAAGTAAGGTTTTAGATTATCGTGATGGACCATAAACTCTCGACCTGTTTCTGATCTAATCTTCTTCACGCCTAGTCTTCCTAAAATATATGGTGGGTCCAAGCTATTTGGGACAGAATTTCCACTCCTTTGGCCGCCTAAGCCATACATGCTCAAGCCATACAAAATCTAGTTTCCTGCTGACCCAGCAAGTCCGACAAAGCGAGGAGTCCTCGGAAAGATCGCGAAAGTTTATGATCCTCTCGGGTTGATTTCGTCCATTATTCTGCAAGGAAAGTTCCTCTACCGCGAGTGTTGTGACGCTAAGGTCCCCTGGGATGCCAAACTGCCTCGTGAGTTAGAAGCTAGATGGACGGCGTGGGAGAAAAGCCTACCAGAGAACGTGACCGCACCAAGGAGTCTAGCTAAGTTCCAGGAGCCAATTGAAGATACAGGTCATTAGATCAAAATCATTAGATCTGGTCGCACACGAAAGACAGTATAGAACTTAGTGCTTTAGATTTCAACATATATTTCGAACAGTTGCGTTAAAATTAGAATTCAATCAAGTTAACATTTATTGGGACGGTGAACACTGAACGAGGCACAACTTTTTATATTCTAATACTTTTATATTAAAAGGGGGGGGGTGTTGGAAATTATGCGGAAATAGAATGATTATTATAATGCATGCAAACGTCATGGGTATAAATTAATACTGCATGCGGATCAATAGTAAGTAAGAAAATTGGATAATTAAGGACAGATTGGAAGTGAGGGTTAAACATAGCCTCTAATGGCATTCCCAACACAGCCTCCTACTGCCATGAATGACCGGTCTTGTTAAAAACCAATATTATAGGTAAATAAAAATATCTACAATCCCTGGCGAACATCTTCGTCTTATATATTATAATTTCTTATCTTCGCTTTTACCTGGGAGGGTGTTTATTTCCCAGCTGCCTTGACAGACAGTGCAGCCTTGGAACACTCTGGCTTGAGATGCACGTGACTAGGCTGACCTTTGACCGTGAAACTGTCCGTAGTTGAGGAACTTCCCGAAGCTGAGACTTGCTGACTTTGTCCCTGCGATGGGTTAATCCAGGACTGTCCTCGTCTAGTAGTTTCCAGACATCTTGTAACGACGCGCGGTCGTCTGATGAGAACGAAGGTTGCCATGGCGAGACGAGGTCGTCACGAACAGTAGACGATTCCGGTAGGCCTGCTTTTTCTGCGAGTTCCGTGTTTGAAGAGTGTTTTTGAAGTTTTTGGGCCGACGCGGAATTCTTTTTCCGAGGAGATAGCGAATGCTGATCATTATTCCTCGCTAGTGTTCTCTGTGCATACTGCAGTTCTTTGCTTGTTAGTTCATATTGCAACTGTTCTAAACCCCGTAGTTGGGATCGGGATGTTTGCGCCACATTCTGCGGATCTTTGGATGATTGACTTGCCTCAATTGAAGGCGATTTTTTCCCTCCCAATATATAACGATAGAATAACATTCTAAAATTAAAACGGTGACAGCGGTATACTAAATATAATCGATTTTACCACGAGATTACTTATTTCAGCATCTCTCATTATACCAAAGCCGCCACGCTGCGGAGAAACAAGAAATTTTCGTGTTCTCAATCATTGTAGTTTTTCTCAACTTCTATAATATAGGTTTAAACTTTTGTTCTTAACAATTTATCAAAAATGTTTTATTAAAGACGCTCTGCAAAACAATTTTATTTCATATTTCAATGCAAGGACGCATTAAACGAATGTTTAGTCCACCCGTTTTTGGTACATTTTCAAGTACAAGTTTAACTTATATCTTATCAATTAACTTGCATGTTTTCTTTCAACAGTTCCAATTGAAGTTTTTCGCCATATGCTTATAACCGACTTGCGTTTGCCCAGACGTTTTTCCGCGGTGTTCTGGGGCTCGGTCACGTGTCACTAGCCTACATGCGGTAGTGACGTAATCATCGCGGGATCTCTTTGCACATGCAGTTAGTCTTTTGCGAACAACAGAAGCTACGCGTCATGACTGTAGGAAAAATGTATTCAATTCATTCTTACAGTAATTTATTTCGACTAACGTATATATATTAATGCCATCTTAATAGATATTCCAAAATGTCCTTTCAAATACCTTTATATTTCAACAATTCAGCTCTCAGTAGTTTGGTGTGTAATCCTTCAGATGACGATACTACTCCCTTCATACCAGGGACTTCTGAAAAAAAAGGAAAACGTTTAAAATTCAAATCCTGACTAAATCATTCAGAATTTTATGAAGTGAATTTAGGGTTTGTTATGTGTTGATAAGAAATGTTGATGAGAAGTTTTCCAGCCGCAATCAATTTACTGTTTTGGAAAAGGTCGTAATTTACAAATTGTGAACGGGTTTGAATGAAATATATCTCCATAGACAGGCGTCATCTATATCACGCTATTTTAGGTGGATCAGGACAGCAAGGGATATGCATGCATTCTATATATGGTCTAACAACTGACAGTGTTTGGGTTACATCACAATCTCTACGTTTCAATTAATTCAGTGGATTTAGAATGTTCTACGGCAGTCGTGATAGTTAAGATTCTAAACACAAATAAAGATAGTACTTTCAAAAGCGTCAGACAGTACACTCACCTTTCTTTCGAAGGTCTTGTATAAACTGACTTTCTGGATTGTACGTATTCAAAGGTTTTCCGTGACTGACAAGATCCAATTTTAATGCTGACAACTGCAGAAAAGCAATGAGAAAATGCATCATCTCCTGCCTGTCACACAATTCTTGACTAGATGTTGCTAATACTTCTACCTCGGGTAGTTTATCTGCGACAAACATTAACCCATACTTTCAGAAACGATCCCTGTAGAAACTAGAATTTCTGTCTAATTACACCGAATACAAAAATTTCGGACATTACGCTCTCAAAACAGATAAATATCAAACGATTATCAGTAATTCTTCCGTATCCACACTATCGCATGTAGGCTGTGTTACACTCACAATCATTGAGTGTGACATACAAATTTTGTCATCACCGATCAAAGAGAAAGTTATTTCTTAATCGATACAAAGATTTAAGGTAAAAAACTGAAAATTAAGCTCTTATTCGAGTGGAAATACTGCCATGGAAATGTTATGACTCCCATTCATAAAATTTGAGTGGGCTTTTAAAATACAGAATTTCCTCGCTAACTCGAACCCCCAAGGGCAAAGGAAAATTGTTCGAGTTACCGGGGGTTCGAGTTAACCGGAGTTGGTGTCATATTACATTTATTATATATAAGTAATACAATAAGGTATAATATCCAATCGAATCATTCTTCAAGAGATATCATGCCTACCGATATGAATGATCACCGAAATTGGACGAAATTTTAAAATTAAAAGATCGAAAGAATACAAAAGGAACTAAAAAAGCTAGATCAATAACGACAGTTGCACTATACAAAATCTTTTAAAATTTATAAGCATTTATATACAATTATATACACTGATTAACTTTTTATTATTTCGATAGTTTCCGGTCCAGCATATAGCTGTCACAACTGATATCTTAGGTTCAGCATTATAGCTGCTCGCTTTGTTGCTCAGTGAATCACCCAGGATGTTACTGACCTTCCTGCCCTCTGGCTGATAACTAATCAAATCCTCTCTTAACTGCTTGCGGTTTTAAAAGCACATATAAATTTCGTTCGATCTTGCATTAACCAACAACACGGTAAAGTACAAATGAAAGTGGGTTCACCGTTAAGCTTCAGACTGTGATACATTTACCCGTTTAATTTGTTTTAATGTTATATACCTAAAGGATGTCTTTATTATATCCATTTTCCATCTGCGATCTAGTCATTTAACAATATCATTAAACCTGGTTTCCTAATGATACAGCATCAATATTTCTTTTCAAGCCCGTTTTGTAAAATTCGTCAGCCTGGTGTCTTTTTTGGGTTACCTGCAGCTTGAGATCAGAGTTCTGCTGCTTCAAAGCATTCATTTCTTCGTTATCCCGACGATTCCCTGTTGACAACTGATAGTGAAGTTGATATGTTTAGTTGCTTCTGACGAACCAAAAAAAAGAAAGTACAATGATCATCAATGCTCGACACAGCTTTCTAAAATCTAGGAATGCAGCACTCGAAAACTAGCCCCATTTACACTATAGACTAAATTTATCGGCACGACATATGTTACTGCTAATAAATACACACAATAAAAATAGGTACGCAATGCGTACATGTGGGTAGCCTGTAATGCGATAAAGCTGCTATAGTGGCGAGTAAATATCAACTGATGCAATAAAATATTATTTTCTAGTCTTATGTTCTAATGCCATAGACAACGGAATAAATGTCCTATAGTTAGCTGGTTGAATACAGTTATAACAAAGTCGATTTATTACGCGCGCAATCTATAAATTACTAGAAATACATGCATGCAGTAACCCCTCGCTATTTCAAACCAAGTACACAATTTCCTGAGTTAACCTGACCTAAACTTATATTATTAAATGACACAAAACTCAAATCAGTCTTATATTTTATATACCAAGTATATTATAGCTAATGTTTCCATCATTCAATACAAAAATAATCATAAAGCTAGTGTAAATATTGCCCGTTTAATTTTGCAGCATTATACCTTGCCAGCAATTAAGTAACGGTTTAAAATCGAAATTTCAAACGATTAAAACACTACAAAATCTTCACAGACAAAGAAAAAACTGCTAATGTTATTTTACTCTGTAATTGCAGTCGACGCCGACGGCTAAAAGTTTCAGTATACTTTATAAATATAGTGTGTATTTTTGATACCAAAATTCAAATTACACTTTGAAAAACACTTTTTAAAGTTAAAGCAAAGGTGTAAGAGCCTTTCACAGGTTTATGTGTTTGCATAAAAAGCTGAAAATTTAACAAATAAACGGCATACAAAGCTGAAAAGTATACAAATATGGCTCATTCTTACCGCGAAACAAATACGAAATAAACAAAGTAAACACGTACCCTTTGTCTTTGAAAACATTTATAAGCTTGCATATTATGAATTATTCCTCTTACACTGCTTTTTTTTTACTGTATCCACGTTCATCTTTGCTATCTGTCATGCTTCATATATCTTGTTTCTTCTCGTTTTACTTTCTTTGCACAAAGTTTATGAAACGCTTTTACAAAAATGTTTACGAAATGACAGTTAAATTGCTGACGTTCTCATTGAAATACAAACTTTCTGTCTTAGCCAATCAGAACGTTCGTTGATTACCAGTCTACACGCGTTCGCATTCCGCGCATGCGCACAAGTACCATGACCATTGAACGTCCACGGTCCACGACATAGAATTTGAGCAACTTTGGATTCCGCTATGTTCTGTCACAATACCCGGGTGTAATAAATCTCCCAGCGGAATTAGTACCCTCGCACGGCGCTTCGCGCCGGCTCGGGGATAATATTTTATTGTATTAAATACATTTTAGGACAGATCAAAACATGTATAAAACCATTTTTACAAGAGATAGGAAATGAAATTTCTAAACAGAATAGGTGAACGAAACAAAAAGGATCCGGGATGGTGGCACACATCGTCTGATAACATAAAGCTTTGTTTAGAAGGAGAAAGATCTTAACAAAGATTTCATTGAGGATAAAATACTTGATTTGCCAGATCATTTAACAGTCACATAACAAAGAGTCCAAAATTGTTTCAAACGTTTCGCATTAACATTTTTTAAGGACTTATCTATGTATCAGAACAATATTTCAAAGATTTTTGATCAGTTGAAATGCACTTTTGTTAACAGTTTTGTTTTTTGAGCTCCAAAGCATTTGGTTTAATAGCCGCATGACAGGTGAAATATTGCATTATAATTTATAAAACAGGGCAACTTGTTACTACTATTTGCAATAAGGTAATGTATTTGGTTTAATAGCTGCATGTCCACAAGCAAGAAATTGACAGGTGAAATATTGCATTCTAATTTATAAAACAGGGCAATTTGTTACTGCCATTTGCAAAAAGGTAATGTATTTGGTTTAATAGCTGCATTTCCACAAGCAAGAAATTGACAGGTGAAATATTGCATTATAATTTATAAAACATGGAATTTGTTACTACCATTTGCCGAATTATAATTTATAAAACAGGGCAACTTGTTACTACCATTTGCAATAAGGTAATGTTTTGGTTTAATAGTGCATGTCCACAAGCAAGAAATTGACAGGTGAAATATTGCATTATCCCCGAGCCGGTGCGGAGCACCGTGCGAGGGTACTAATTCCGCTCGGATATTTACACCCGCGATGTGCAAATGCGAAATCAAAGTTGTCCGCCATTATGCAATGGACCTCACGCCATGGACGGTCTTCTACGTTATGCGCATGCGCCAGAGTGAACCACTAAGCTCTAGCTTGATTGGTCGAGACAAAAACTTGTATTTTCAAACGTCAATAAATAACCGTCATTTTGCAAAATTTTGATGAAGTTTACAAATTTTATGTTTTCATAAAATAAAGAATATATGTATTTTTAATAGGCAATTCCCATTATAGCAAAGCATCATGGGAAATGTGGTAACCTTGTCTTGCAGGCGAAATGGCCGCCATCGAAGCGAGCATTTCGCATGCGAGAAGTATCGCTTTTTTAATACGCTTTTTTCGCAACATTTGCTAACTTTTAATACATCGACGTGTTCCTAATGCTGCAAAGTTTGTTTTGTTCAAATTGCATTGCAATCGAAGCAAAAATGAGCTTAAAAATGTGCACCGAACAACAGAGGGAGCGGAAAATTGGTTCGTAAATACGTTCTAAGAGGACGTTTCTTCTTGTCCTTTTGAGGTGAGTACTTTTCGCAAGCATTCTACATCCCACCATTTTGACCTACAAATGCGTGCATGCCATTGCTCGATGTATACAAAGTAATTTCACAACGATCGAGTATTTTGTGCGGATTCTTTCGCTTGTTGAAATCGACAAATGTTTATCAAAATATCTGTCGATCGTTCGATCAGCATGGCGTTCAAGGGCAATACGTTCAAAGGGGCTTTAAATCTTTTGGCGCGAAATTTAAGCAACCCAAACCGGTTTTATCCGACCCGGCACTGTTACTTTGCTAAAAACGCTAAGAAGAAAGCAGTTTTGACTTTGGTTGTTCGTTTATCTGCTCTTTTTGTTGTCGACGGCTCATTTCCACTTTCTCGTAGAATTATTCAAGTAGGGTTATAGTATTAAATATTTTTATAGTGCTAGATATATTAAATTCGTAGGTAAAGCTATTTAATATTAACGATTTAAAATTTAACATAGTATAAATAAGTACAATATATTTATAGCTTAGGTAATTTTTAAAATTTACTAGATATAGAAGCTAGGCTAGGTCTAAAATATTATATTAATTTATTAGGCAGGCCCTAATAATAAAAACTTCTAGTAAGTTTGTACATATTTAATCTTAAAATCATAGTTTTAAAATTCATAAACATATAAGTTTAAATTAAGTAATATAACTTTTTACTATGGATAATGAGCCAGAAACTTCATTGGGGGCAGATAGAAATTTAACACCACTATTAGATGGGTGGACAAAAAGTTTGAAGAACTGTCCAGTTTTTACATACACACAGTTAGAAAAGCATTTGATTCTTGAGGATAAAAATACAACTGATGGCAAACCTGCTGAGGCTTTTAAGCACAAGAAAAGTGGCTACAAGTTATTTAAAGCTGGATATCCAAGACAGTTTCGGGTGAAAGCTAATGTAAAGGATGGAGATGATAAAGTCCATTTTCTTGTCCGGTGCCATGTTAATGCAGAAATGAAAAGAAACAATATCTTGTGAATGTTAACTTTGAACAAAGTTCAGGGAATGTTGTCTTGGCAAATTGCTCTTGTCCTGCTGGTGCTGGTGGTCGTTGCAAGCATGTGGCAGCTACTTTATTTCAGTTTCTTGATTATATTGAGCTTGGCCTATCAGATATACCTGACGACAAAACATGCACCCAGGAGCTACAGACATGGCATATCCCCAAAAAGAACACAACACAAGAAGCCCTATTATTGAAGATTTGATGTTCCCCCAGGATACATATGATAAAGATAAAAAAGGTCGAAAGCGTCCAGTGCCTGAAGGGAAAAGAGATGGGTATTGCTCAACAAAAGAAAATGTCTCAAAAGCTAATTTGGAGTGTCTTAAAGCAGGTTTGGAAAAAGCAGGAAGTACAAGTCATTTAGTCGGTATCTTAGACAATACAAAGTGTGAACCATGTGAGTTTGATGTTAATGACTTACCCTCAAGACAGAGAATTGTAGGTGCAAAAGGAGTGGGTGACAAACTGGACTACACTTCAGTAAGATCAAACATTCTGCAAAGGCTAAATGGAAAATTAGATTGTACCTCTATTCCTGATAAAGAAAAAGTATGGAATTTGTCATGGAGAGATTATTTGTCGATAACGAAGGTTGCAAGGAAATTGAGAAGAACACACGGAAGCAAAACAAATGCAATGAGTGGTATGAACAAAGAAAATGTCGGTTGACCTCATCATTGTTTGGTTGTGTGGTGAAGAGAAGAAAATCAATCTATCCTAATAGTATTGTGAACAAAATTACAAAGCCATCTCAGACCAGGAGTGCGAGCTGTCAATGGGGAATTGAAAATGAGCAGAAAGCATTGGTAAGATATCATCAGTATAAAGATAGTTTAAAAGAACACATAAAACTTTGTGCAGCCTGTGGATTGATCGTAAATCCTAGATGGCCATGGCTTGGTGCAAGTCCAGATGCCCTCATTTTGGATCAAAGGGAAAAGGCTGAGTATGGAGCTGTGGAGGTGAAATGCCCTTCGTCTAAATCTGAAATGACTATAGCTGAAGCATGTAAAGATAAATCATTTTATTTAGAGTTAATTGATGGAAAGCCTTGTCTTAAAAAGACACATGTATATTACCACCAAGTACAAGGTGTTATGGCTATTTGCCAGTTGAGTTTTGTAGACTTTGTTGTATATACAGTAAGTGACATTCACATTGAAAGGATTTATTTTAGTGAAGTGGAATGGAAACAACACACTT